TCTGAAGAAGAAGATGACAGAGTTACAGCAGCTAGTATTCACCGCAACGAACAACAGAGGGAAAATGCGAAGAGGGAAAGGGAGTTGTTTATGACTCAGACAAGGAGCCGCTTTAATCAAATTATCGGAGAAGTCGCCGATATTTTGGTTGGCTCCTAATTTCAATTAAGGCTTCCGATAATTTATATGCCAAACTATAAGTCCAACGCCAAAATTGGCTGCTTCCAATTCCAAACAGTATGCCTCCAGCACAGTGGGACAGTGCTTATTGTCAACACCTAACCCTAATTTATGGCTTTTTCTTTAAATCGAACTACACAGCCCCCAAATTACATATCTCTGACAAACAAATGCTTAGATTGACTGGCTGTGGGGTCATTCTAGCTTAACTAAGATTAGGAATTTGATCCCGTTTAGGAACGCAGCAGCGTGAAGTGATATGCAAGCCATCCGTTAAGGGATCATTTACAGGTGTCACTCCGGATTAGTCTGGACCTATTGAAAAGCTTGAAAGATACTATTGGCATGAGATACCAGGAGAGATCAACTCAAAAAAAATTTTATATAATTGAGTTGAATTAATGAATTCTATTAATTCCTTGTTAGAGATATATAAAATAGACAATTTTTTTCAAAACAAGGTGAGCAACATTATATGCGCACTTTCAGTCCTGTGTTTATCATGCCATAATTTGATGGAAAATGTAGTCTCGTGGTAATTCTCTCTGTTAAAAATAAGAATGAACCATCCAATTAAGCAATAAATAATTGACGGTTGACATTCCAGCAGTACCAAGCAAGCGGAGTCATCTGAAGGATGTGGGCATAAATAATGGATGTATGAAACAAGCACAAAAGTATAATGACAGAAGCGAACATTATAGTTTAGTTGAGTTGAATAAAAATATTGTGATCTTTGGGGATCTAAATGGCTCACGGTGTCACCAACCCTTGGGGGAAGCTTAGGGACAAAACCATCTTCCATCCTTAGCGCTAAGTCCTAACCAGTGGCGTGTGAGCCTGACTATCATATTTCATAGAATTGGCCCCAATATTATTTTTGACTTGAGATATATCTAACACCTCAAAATATTTTCTCAGGTATATCCAGTATTATATTCTGAAGTATTTTGTGGTGCATCTAACATTTTGAAATATTTTTTTAAATGCGTCCAACACCCTAAAATATTTCTTTAATCTTAGTATTGGATGCACCAAAAAATATTTTTGGTACTTAACACATCTTAAAAAATACTTTAAAGTGCTAAATGCATCAAAAAATATTTTAAAGTGTTTGATGCATTACAAAATATTTTAAGATACTAAATACAGTTTTATTTGCCATGGTCGTGCCAAAAGCGGAAGAAACTAGAAAACACCTAACAAGGAAGCACCGGCTTCTTCCTTGTGTGTGCACGGCACGTGCAGTCGAGCCCGACCACTCCCCCCTCACCTAACCCTTTTCACTGATTCCTCGTTTGACCTCAGCGCTTAGCTTCAGATATTCAGCGTTTAAGCTCCGCTGGTTAGGTTCGCAATGCCATAAAATTAAAATAGTAGCGGAACCAAACTAGACCCGAAGATCACGTGAGCCATACCCAACAGCCATTGCGTCACTTTCGAGCTGAGGAACGGAATATGCTTTTCACATGAAGCTGCTGCTTTCAAGAATACGCCCTCTTTTCAGGTCTAAACAAAATTATTAAGAATGACCAGGCAGACCAGCACGCACTACTTCGCGGACCACTGTGACTCCTTCACCATACCTACCATCACCATTCACCAACCCCTTCTTCGAGCGTCATGCTGCTGAATATTAAACATCTAAGCTATTGGTGTGTGCAACATCTTTTCAAATATTAATAAAATGACTCTGTTTTCCGGCCGAAACGAAAAACGCCGAACGTTCCCATAATGGAGTCTTAAATTTCGCTTCATTCATGGCCATCTTGATCTTCATGCCTTTCATTTTAGTACTTAATATGGCAGCACACAACAATAAAAAGAGTGAGTGTCATTATCTCTTTTTATTTATTGACGTGACTATTTTGTTTTTCTTTCATACAAGTGGCGCCGGGAAAAAAGTTTAAATCTCCGTATATATACAGAAATGTCGGTTAGTTTTAAGACGACCGCAAAGAAGTGGAACATAATACTCCGAACAAGAGGAGAGCCTTCGAAATTGAGAGGCTTCACTTGAACAATCCGTAATTTAAGAGTGTTTAAATGAAACCAAATTATGGTTTGGAGAATAACTTCTTAAAGATAGCTTTTGAAAAAATATATTTTGTGAATAGATTTTGAAAATAGATTTTGTAAAAAAAAATGATTTTTAATAAAGTGAAAATGTTTGAGTGGTTGTTATAATAATCATTTTCTATGTATAAATTATTAAAAAAGACATAAAGTAATATAATAATTATAGAAAAATATATTTTAATTTATATTTTTGTTTGAAATAATAAATTGTATATAAAAATATAATTAATTAATATTACCTCTCATTCTTAATATAAGAGCTAACTAGATATTCAATTTGATTCTGAATCTAAGATCCCAATCTATTTTATTTCTCATATTTATCTATTTTTTATATCACAAACCATGGTTCTATACTTTCAAAAACAAAAAAATTTCACTTTATAAAAAACCATGATTTTCAATTCAAAAGTGATTTTGTCAAAAATCATGATGTTTGGTTATATCTTTCCAAACCATGGTTTTTAATCAAAAACTGATTTTACAAAAAATTAACATGTTTGGATGGCTGGATCTCTAAAAACTATGGGTTTGCTGCTGCGGAGGAAAGGATTCGTCTTCGTTTTGCATCAAAGGCGTCGATGTTTGATAGCTAATTAGGTGGAATGAGAACACATCTCTAGAATAAGCGTGCGGCCCAGGGCTGTGATTAAGTTCGCTTGCTGGGCTTACAGGATAACCATAACCCCACCAAGTAATTGCATTCGTACTTACAAGTGACAAATATGGGCTTTGATCCTTTCAAATTTCTCATCTGTCACTGACGCGGTCTTGCGGTCCTCGAGTTTACAGCCCAAGCAGCACCCACCTCTCATCCATGATGCCCCACTGACGGGTTCTTATGGTCCTCAAGTTTACAGCCCAAGCAGCACCCACCTCTCATCTCTAATGCCCCGTTTGCCATCGTGAAGGAGTTTGTGAAGGAGTCTTTGATGGATGTGAAAATGAACATGAAAGTAGAAGTAAAACTGCAAGTGAAAGAAAAGTGTGCTTGACATGACCGTGAAAATAGGATATAATTTTTAATTGAAATTACTTTTAATCCTTAAAAACTTGTTCTTAGATGGTGTTTGGAAACACTTTTATAAAAAATACAATAAATTCTTTCACATATTTATTTTGTATTCCGTAAAAATAATTTTAAAATTATTATTTTAATTTCATCTAAACATTCTCTCAATTTTAGATACAATACCTCAATTTATTTTATTTATCTATCTTTATTAAGAGAGTTTTTATAATAGTTGCACATATTAATAATTCCTCAAATGATAATTTTAACTAATACATGTGATAAATAAAGATATTTTAAGAAAGATGACATCTATTTATTACAAATAAATAAATTAATAAATTTTTTTAATTTATTCAAATTAATCAACTAACTCTTATATTAAGGACATAATATGTACATTTTATTTTTGAAAAGACCAAAGTACCCTTATCATTTTAAGGGAAAAAACCTCAGTCACCACCGCCATCACTCCTCACCCCAGAATGAAGAAATCATCCACCACCATGAATAGTCGCCGGCCATTCACCAGAGTCAGATCAATAGCAAAACCAAATTACCCAATTAGATACAATCACAAATAAACAAGAAACATAAACTCCAGGCTGAAATGGCAAGATCTTTATCAATGGATAAATCGTAACTAAAAGCAAAACAGCAAAAATCATGGAGAATTGCCGGCCACAAAATCCGAATGCTCCCTCTCCGTCAAATTCTGCATCTTCCTCCATCGTACAACATGTTCGTGGCCAAAAATTTCCATCCAATGAGATAACCATTACAAGGAAAAAAAACGACGGAAGAATGCGAACTCAAAGCTAGGAAGAGCATTGGTCAGTAAGCGAACGTGAACCACCTGGACAGCGAGCACGGACTTCGAAAGCGACGGCGTTGGCTGAAGATGGAAGAACACCACGACCTTGCGACGAATCTGGAAGAAATCACAACAAATTTGGATCTGGAAGAGCGCTTGCGACAGATGTAGAGGAGAGGATGCGATTTCGCGGCAGAAAACCGCGACGGACTTTGGAGACTGAAGGTGACAATATAGTCGTCGTGCTCTTGTCGCTTCCTCCCCAGTGTCGCCATCGCCAGATCTCAGGGGTAAAATGGTCCACAAATTTCAATTCCAATGGAACTGGACCAGTTCCATCGGAGTGGGATGAAAACCAGTCCAATCATTTTTGACGGAACTGATATCGATGGGGAACCGAGATCCACACTACCGCTCAACAATACGAATTCCGCCTCCACTGCCCCTTCCCTTTCCCTCCCCCCCAGTTATTTCCTACCAAACGAGGCATAGGATACACACCTTATCCTCCTCTCGTCCTAATCTCTATTATATCATTATCATTATCATTATCATTATATCATTTTATTCTTTAAATTTCATTTTTTTAATTTTATTCTTTATTTACTTCTTTTATATTACGTATATTTAAATAGATTCTGAAAATACCCGCTTGTCCTTGCCTCTTGCAATGCTAAGAGGAGGGTGGTGGAGGGAGCAAGGATCCCATTTAAGAATGGAAATAAAACAGAACTGGACAGAGGGTTGAGGATACAGTCGGACATGCCACGAAAAAAAATGGTTGTGACCAAAAATGAGATTCCCTCATATCATACGGCGACCTTGGAGTGAGAAGTGCGCAGAGAATAAAAATTTGGAACTCAGCCCTTTTAATTGAAAAAGTATGAAAATACATTAAAGGGAAGCACGGGCGCAGAAAATAAAATAGAGACGCCTGAAGTTCATAGAAGCAGTACAGAGAATAGTTTCTATTCCAACTCCAAGTCTGACAGTAACATAATTTAGTAGGGTCCTTTCACATGCAAGCACAAAGTGGAAAGGCTGAGAAAGAGCAGCAAAATAAAATAACTAGATAGAAAGGTAGGCCAATGTAAGAGGTTGCAGAATCAATTCTCGTTGTCGAACTCCTCGTATTGCTTGAGAACTTCAGCACAGACAGACGCAGCCTCGACCTTCATGAAGCCCACGGCATTGACGGCTCGATCGTCGGAGGCGATGCCATTGTTTCGGGTAAGAATAACTCGGGCTTGATCACGGCCAGGGGCGGCTTCATTACAGTCACTCTGAGGGCTGCTCACAACCTTGGCATCACATACCTGATCTGCATGATCCTCGTCTACAAGTATTTTGTATGTTCCTGTTGAGTCCGTCCTTCCGTTCTTCCTGTACACAACCTGTAATGTATTCCTCTCCTTGCACTCCACAACTACCTCAGCACCTGCGCACCACCATTCACAAACTATGTTGTTACAAACAACCATTGAAAAAACACTGCTTCATCGCCTCATCGTTTTCAGCCTACCTCCGTTTTTTTTTTTATTTAATCATATAACATCTGAGACAAAAGTCTTCATATTTGATAGTTCATACTAAGCACGAAACTAACTAAAAATGTAGTTGAATGCTGGTATTTTATAATTAGGCCCTGCATAGTGAATACTTAATTTCCGCAATCCACATCTTGAGCAAGACAGAAAAATGCGCCACAAATTAATTGGATGTGATACTAGAGCAGTTGAGTGTGAATAATTTGCAGTGAAGGATAAGCCAAATCTAAACTAAAATTTGATTGATAAGGATTGCATCCATCCGTACGTGGATCTCAATTACTGCTACTGCATCTCTACTACTGATAGGCATTTGGCCAGACTGGTCTGCCACTTTTCTCCAATTACGTCCGTGCAGACCGAAGGCCAAAGCACCGCCCTTCCAAGATGACAGATTTTAAAGATGAAATCAAGGATGTAGTGATCAATTTTCCCAAAAAAAAAAAAAAAACAGATCAAATGGAACATCCAACGTTTAGGCCACCATCAAAAGCACAAATTTTCACTCTGCCTAAAAGCTCTTTATCAAAAAAAAAAAAAAAATCTTTTGAACAAGAAAATCCAACAGAACTAGCAAAACTAGGGACCGCCTAATACTGCAAGTTTAGATCACAACATTCCCCATAAGATTAAGGTGCGAGAAGGATTTTACCCCACAGTATTCAGATCTGGCTTTATATGCAGGATGCAAGGCGATTCCAGGTAAAGCATTGTTATTTTGAGTAAAAGTTCAGGCAAATGCTTAGGAAAACTAAACAGGTGAAAGAAAGAAGTCTGCAGAATAAAGGAACAAGAGGAGTATAGATAAGAAGAAAAAGGGTACCAGCAATGTAAGTGGTGGCGGAGGTCTCGAAACCAGCACGGCAAGTGTCACAGTAGACGCGACCCCGCACCGTGAATGGGTTCCTCTCCGGGCGGATGGCGGCAACCAATGCCGGTAGCGCACACAGAAGCAGTAGGAAGGAAACTCTGGTAGCCATAGCAATAAGCCCACAAGTTTAGCAGAGGGGGGGAGGAGATGATGGTGATTACTGAATAGTATGCAAGAGGAAGTAAGGAATGGATGGATTTGAAAGGATTTGGACTTGGGTCGGTTGCCCAGAAATACAAAAAGTGAAAAAACAAAGAACATCATATCATAGAAACGCACAGTGCGGATGGTGATCTCGCGATTGGGAACGTGCCACGTCATAAGGCATTTAGGTTAAATATATGACGTTTTAGGTTGAGGTTTCTCACCGAGTTTTCTCATCACATTATGAAAACAAATTATCAACTATGTATCGAAAGGAGTATAAAACCCTAACATCCAAATTATTACGTATACAGGTATAATATTATATATATTTTCGGGTAAAATGTTATTAAAATAAATACAAATTACTATACATAATCAAATCATGAATTATAGTAATTATGGGATGAGGTGAGTGCGGATAAAAAGTAACACTACTTTGCCATGAAGAAATGGGAAAGTGTCTGTGGGAGAGGAAAGGGCCTATGGTTGGTTGGATGTTATATGTGGGGCTCTGCGCTCGGTGTGAAAAGCCGCGGTGTTCGCCGGAGACTAATCCTATCATCCTTTTCCCCACTTTTTCCCGGTTAAGTAGTGACATCCTCCTCTTTGTTTGATGGATTATTTATTTTTTCCTCCTCCTTCCTTACTTCCAAACTCATTACGTCATGTGCTGAGTAAACCGAAATCCAAGTTTTGGTCACCTGATTTCTTTTGTGTTGGCTTTACAAAAAAGCCGAGACGATCAACAAGTAATCAGCCACAGCCATCATGCAATCCTCATTTTATTCGGCCTTGCTTGCTGTAAATACTTCACCGCTTATTCTTTTTTATTTTCACACGGGGAAAACATCAAAAAAAAATCTTGGAAATTAAATTTAGAATTTATTTTCAAACTGTAAAAGAACACCGCGTCTGCGTGTCCCTACACCTCATGCGGAGGGGAAAAAATGAGAAGAAAAGGAACTGGGCGAGCCCGATTTACGCGGCCGACATATTTATGGAATGATGAAATCATGCACCGATGGTAGAGGCCCAGCCCAAACATGAAATAAGCCGTGCGGCTGCTTCTGTACCTGAGTTAGCCCAGACCAAGCCCCCCCGTGTGTGTTCGCGCGCGCGCCTTTCCCTTCCGATGGACTGCCATTCCCTTCTGTTTAACTATGAGATCTTTTACAAAAGCTAATACAAGATTTGTCACTCATTTATAAATTTGTAACTCTAACCGTTTTCCGAGTGAGGATAAGCCTTCTCCTTTTTTTAAAAAAAAAATTAGGTTAATGTAATTTTCAAGAAATTATGCAAATTCTTAACAATTAAATAATTTTAATGGTGTATTTTTTGTCGAGGTAGATACAAAAGACGACAGCGAGGGACAATATACATAATAACATATCACATCCGTCTGTGGTGAGTCACTTGTTAAGACTCGCGACTTGCAAATTGCAATGCGTGGCCGCTACGTTGTTTCTTGAGTGCGGGTTCCGTTGAGGGGCATCCACTATTTATGGAGCCGCCATTACGATGCTCATGGAAGGCATGGTCAGCAATTACAGCGCAGGAATTCGTAGTCAGCGCACAAGCCCTGCCCACTCGCATCACCATCCCTTTCCCTCATAGCCATCACAAAATCACTTGATATTGCGGTTTTAGAATCACCTCACAGGAATGACTTTCGCAGTTTCGATCAATTCCTGCTTTTGGTTTCATCCCGATTTCAGCTTCAGTCTTCATCCCAACCGGTGCCTCCGCCTGCTAACTTAGTAATGCCACGCATAGCATGCGTCTTTTACTCTTGCCTCTCATACTATATCCCCATACACGTACCCACGGGGTCCCATTTGACCTCTAGTTAACACATGAGCCGTTTTTACCACTTGACGATGCGTACAGGCATATAGGCCTAACATATTCCTTCATGAGATAGGTTGTCCCCCACACTCCTCTCCCACTAGCCCACTACCGTTTCCTTGTGGTCATGCCATCATCGCTTTTTCTTTTATACAAAAGGAAAAAAAAATCTTTTTATATACGTAAGGGAAACAAATATTTGCAAGGGAAAATTCAAGAGAACAACAAAGTGGAAATAAAATATACTAACAAAAAACAAATATAAATTAAATGGCAGAGAGAGTTGAACCTTAACTGTTGATAGTCGTCTTTAATTTGGTGGTGTTCTATATATCCTTTGGATCTTGGGTGTGGTATAATTTGATGGTTATCTGTCACCTACGTCAAATACGGCGGTGGAATTCAAACAATACAAAAATTGGCATCACCAAATCAGTCACTGTCCCTCAAGATGCCGATTCCCGTCCCTATATAGCCATGGAAGTATGAATGTGTACTGTCATATCCAGGTCGAGAGAAGGTTCAAAGGCATCCAATGGCGACCTGTATTAGCCTCTCATGGCTTCTCCATCTGCTTGTCTTTGGCGCTGCCATGCTTCCTTTTACTCATGGAAATCAACTATATTCCAATTTCCGAGTCAAAGCAGTTAATCTGGGCGGCTGGCTCGTTACCGAGGGTTGGATCAAGCCTTCTCTCTTTGACGCCATTCCCAATAAGGACTTCTTGGTTAGTGTCAAGCAATTATTAATAAATGATTCATATGCTACAACCATTCCCGCTGAAAACTCTTGCTTTCCCTTTTTGATAGGACGGAGCTGGTCTTCACTTCAAGTCTGTGACAACCAAGAAATACCTTTGTGCCGAGTCTGGGGGAGGAACAATCATAGTGGCAAACCGCACGACCGCTTCTGGCTGGGAAACATTTAGCGTAAGCTAGCTCTCTTCGTGTGTGTGAATTTGTTGCAAACATGATGTTAAATGATGTTGTATCTGCATTTTGTAGCTGTGGAGGATAGACGAGACCACTTTCCGATTCAGGGTATTCAACAAACAATTCGTGGGATTAGACGGGATTAAGGTGGTTGCGTTGGTCAACATTTCCACTGATTCGGAGACGTTTCATATTATCAGGAAAAGCAATGATTCTGACCGCGTTCGAATCAAAACATCCAATGGATTCTTCTTGCAGGTGATCCATCCTCTGCTTTTTACGTTGCTGTTCTTTCGGTAAAAACTTTTGTCCCATAACTCACGAAACTGATGGATTTACAAACCTCTTATGACATGCGTCACTGGAGATTTCTATATTATGCAACTTTCGGGTGACAGTTGCATCATTAACGATGGACATTCCTCCGTCTTATCGTTCTGTACGATGAATTTGCAGGCGAAGACAGAGGAGCTGGTGACAGCCGATGTTTCGGAGGTCAACGGTTGGGGAGATGATGACCCTACCGTTTTTTTGTTGACAATCTCTAAGAGGATGCAAGGAGAATTCCAAGTCACGAATGGCTATGGCCCCCACAAAGCCCCCCAAGTTATGAAGGTAACGCTGACGCACCATATTTTACGACAAATCACCCGAATGTCAAAGTAAATGGAATTTGTTTTATTGACATGATCAACTAGATCCAGTTTAGAATGGTTTGCTTATATCCAAATCAACCATTGAATTTGAATCCCCTGAAGTTCCGTTTCATTGATTGCCCAGGCACAAAAAAGTGTCGAATTTTTATCTAGAGTTTGCAATAAATAATTTGTGTGTATATATGTAGCATGGCAAAAGTTGAAGGAATGCGTTTGATTTACAGGAACACTGGAGCACCTTCATCGTGGAAGATGACTTTGAGTTCATAGTGAAAAGTAACTTGAATGCGGTAAGAATACCCGTGGGTTGGTGGATAGCAAGCGAACCAGCTCCACCTCCCCCTTACGTTGGAGGTTCCTTGCAAGCACTGGACAATGCCTTCTCATGGGCACAGTATGTAAAGTTTTTCTAGAATAGCTAGCCTGCTGGCCCTCATAAATCTTTGCAAAATAGCAACTTGGTGCCTATGCTAATATCGGGAATGATCTGCCTGCAGGAAATATGGAGTTAAAATTATAATTGATCTTCATGCAGCACCGGGCTCTCAAAATGGTTTTGAACACAGCTCTTCTAGAGACGGCTCTCAAGAATGGGGAAAAACAGACGACAACATTCAACAGACGGTTCGTGTCATTGACTTCCTAACCGCAAGGTTTGTATATTTTTTATACTCACTTTTTCTCATTATCTTAACCTTGATGGCTAATCCAGGACAATAGAACATATATATATAAATATATATATGATGCATGTGTTTGCAGGTATGCCAAAAGCTCAAGCCTATATGCGGTGGAGCTAATAAACGAGCCTCGAGCACCGGGCGTTACATTGGAGAGGCTAAGCAAGTACTACAAGGCTGGGTATGAAGCTGTACGCAAGTACTCTCCAACGGCCTATGTGGTTCTTTCGAACAGGCTAGGACCTTCTCAGCCTCGGGAGCTTTTCCCTCTGGCCAGTGGCCTCATGGGATCTGTGATTGATGTCCATTACTATAACCTCTTCTCTGATGTTTTTGATAACATGACCGTCCAACACAACATTGACTTTGTCAGGGTCAACCGCTCTTTGGCGCTGAGTCATATTACCAGCTCAAACGGGCCTCTTACGTTTGTAGGTAATGAATCGTGCTGTTATGGATTATGAGATGACATGATCCTTTTTTCTTATTTTTCATGGGGTGGCTGATCTGCAATTACCAATAAATCGCAGGTGAATGGGTTGCTGAATGGCAAGTGAAGAATGCAACAAAAGAAGATTACCAAAGATTTGCAAAGGCCCAATTAGAGGTATATGGGCGAGCAACATTTGGGTGGGCTTACTGGACTCTTAAGAACGTGAACAAGCATTGGAGTCTGGAATGGATGATCAAGAGTGGTTATATTATGCCCTAGGTTTCCCTTTCAGACCTGCTCTAATCTTCCAATAATGACTATCTAGGCCATACTTTGTCAAGCTTCGTAACCTTTTGGTTCTTTATCCCAAAATCGATAGTCTCAGATCATTGGCAGCCTATCGGTTATCAATCATGTACGCCGGAATTTCATTCGTGAGGTGCTTCGATGGGGGGAGGGAAAAAATCTATTCAAGGAAAAAGTTTTATGCTCGATGAACCAAATACGCGTCATTTGTTCCTTTAATTACTTTGTTGCCCAGCTTTCTATTACGTCTGCTCCTTGATTTATCAGTTGGCTCTTTGATTTATCAGTTAACTGTCTATTTCGGCCCACCTTGACTTTTTTTCCAAGCGGGTGCTTAATGCAAATACTGTTCTCACATGCTGTGGATGGACTGAACAGAAGTCCAAACTAGCGTGATTCACACATCAACAAGTGGGAGCACGAAATTGAAGCATGAATCAAATGAAATTAAAAGGTTATTAAATTCAGGGATGTGGACGACACACCTTAAGTAGAAAAGAAGTGGTTGTGTTAATGTCCTCTGATAATGATGATAAACTGCCAAAATTTAGCACAAACATTGACTTTACAGAAAAGGTGATCCCCTTTGGGCAGCCATAGAGCTAAAATATCTGTCCTTCAATAATTCCCTTTAATTTACAGGGTGGAAATCAGAATTACAAAATCAGATTGGATGATGAGTGAGTAGGGGGGATAGGGAAGGGCAGTGTGAAGTTGATGATACCGAATCAGAATGATGATATGACAAAATTAAAAAGGCTTTTAATTAGAGCATATGTTTAGTGGCAGGGAGAATGAGTTAATTGTGCTGCTCCAATTCACAGCCACAGAATGAGATTCGAGAAAAAAGCTTAGTGGAGTCCATGGATGGCCATGAGAAGTGACTGTGTGGCCTTTTAGGAAGACATCATTTTTAAAAAAGGCTTGGTCCGTCACCATGTTGGTGGGGAACATCATTATTGTAAGATTCTCGCTCTTCCTTTTTCGGCCTCTTCCCCTTTTCAAATTCTTTGGTGAGTAAAGGAACCACTCGCCTGAGAAAATTCAAAAGGAATCAATTTTTGCAGTAAAGATATGTGGACAAACCACACACGACCGCATCGTTTGCCATTACTCCTTCTTCTGGAAAACTCAAATCCACGCCCATAGAATTCATCTTCACTGATATATACTACTGTCGGTCTTAATTATAAGAGCTAGCTGACTAATTTGAGGAGATTAAAAGAATAACTTAAGTTAGTTATTTGTAATAAATAGGTGTTGTCTTTCCTAAAATATCCTTGCAGATCAAGCGTATTAAATAGAATTACCATTATAAAAAATTTTACCTTGAAAAAAATATATAAATATAAGAGACAAAGTAAATTGAGATCTTATATTTAAAAATAAAATAAAAATAAAATAAATTCTTATATTAAGGACCGGAGGTAATATATGTATGTGCAGTTTTAGTTCACTTTGACTAGTGAAATGTTAAGGCGTAATTACAAAGTTAGAAGGAAGATATTTATTTGGTTAATAATGACGGTGGCCTGGGGAGCGTGACTTGCCATTGAATTTACTTGTGAATAATGCTATCGGAATATATCTAACAATAACATCGCCAAGTTGCGGACCTCCGTAAGTCCTAAGCAATATAAATCACCAGGAACTTTTGAAATAGTTGAGGAGGAGAAATTAAGGAGGTTAAATTATTTGCATGATTATTGAACAAGGACAATCATAGCGCGGGCATGTTAAGGAGGGGTGTGGGCTTGTATCATACGGATGTTGGGTTTGAAAAAGTCAGGCGTGAGAGGGGACCACCGCATTAAAAAAGACGAGAGAAAGAGAAACAGAGGGCTTTGGGTAGTTGCCACTCCAGTCCAATCATTGCCAAGTTTTTTTTTTTTTATACAAATCATTGCCAAGTTGATCACCCGTTGGGGCACGGACGCCTCACCGGTAACGTACTAAGTACTAACTCCCCACTGTTCGTTTCTCTTGTTCCTCCCAAATACAAGTACAGTTTAATAAATAGATCTTATAATTAGAATGGAAATAAAAACAATGTTAAAAAAAAGTTAATTAGTGCCTTGCATAATAGACGCAATGGGAAGTGTTACTCTTTTACTTATTTTATACTCACATTGATCCTGTCACGATCGGTTTGTGTGAGGCAAGTGGTGAGAAAAGTAAGATCCGGCGGGATAAATGAGACTTCAAGTTTGGTGGAGGCAGGAGTGAAAGCCAAGAACAAGGAATGGTGCCACTACCTGATGCAGAGGTACGTCTATTGAAGTGACTTAATCAATGCGTCTAATCTGATTCGCCTTCTATGCCACTTGTTCTGCGGAAAATATCCAGTTCCATTATTGGCGCACTCTGTTAATTAGCCACGTCCGTGAATGCGGTAAATTTCGCACATCCGTCATGATATTCTCTCGTTAAAAGAGAAACAGTAAAGTACATGGGCGTTACGTCTGGCTGGTGTTGCTCTCTCACTGCGCCCTTTTTCCTCTCCAGAGGAAAAAGGCGGGCATGCTTTTAAGTTCAGGTCGAGCTGCGGCTGCCCGTCTGTGAACAATCATGTGTTTAATTTACTTCATGACTCCAGTATCCATTAATTAAAAAAAATCAGATGAAATTAATTGTACCTCATTGCCTCGGTTTTCATATTGCAGGTTTATGAATAAATTAACAATAGAGAGGAGAAAAACATTTAAGAACAAAAGTATTCTATATTATTTTTAATAATATATGTATATTAGCCATTATCATTGTGCAACGATGCAAGGCTGTTCACGTATTTATACATTATTGATTATATATTGAAAATAGAGTGGTGTCGTACAAAAATATAGTTCCACCATTAAGTTTCAATCTCGTCGTTGTGTTATTTATTAATTTTTATTTTTTGATTAGAAGGAGAGTCACATAAATACATATAATTGAATCTGAATTTTACATTCCATCGGTATATTAACTAGGTGATACTCATGTATATTGCATAAGCCTGGCCTCTTATTGAAAATTGTATTTGTTCTTGTAAACCATGTAGTTTCGTATCAATTCACCCCTTGCAAAGCCAAAGTCCGCGGCTCTTCAAATGAAGAAGGTTATGTGATCAAACTTCCAGTATCATACTGACTATCATAACAACTTATAACTATTGATTAAATAGACGTGTAAGATCAACACAGACAGGCAAATCATGAAGCCGGTAACAGATTTATCTATAAAATCTTACTGCTGCTCATAAATTATTAGTAACTTCCCTAACAAAATTATATACTACCTCTGATCCTTAATA